ATTTTGGAAATCCGGAAAGTTAGGGGCGAGAATATTGGAAATTTTGGAATTGAGTTTGTGAGGGCTGATCGCCACCCATCCGATGACACACCATGCACATCTACTCAGTTGAGAGGGCATGGTCTGTCAACGGGGGGGGGCGACATATATATATATATATATGTATTTTGTAAGTTGATATATATATATATATATACACATAATATTTATATTTAATTATTTCTACGCGAGAGTCAGCATTTGCGAACACCGTTAGCTAGAGTTGCTTATTCTGTTCATACGATTATCGCATACCCCAACTGTTGGTGCCCGTCACATGTACTCGCAAGGAAAATGGCCAAAACTAGCTCTGCCAAGCTGCAGGGCCTTGTTGACAGACCCGAAACGCTTCGCCTAAACAAATAACCCTTCAACAAAACCCTGGACCCCTAAAGCCCTAAGGCCATAACCCTGAAACCCTAAAACCCTCTTGTTTCCTGAATCCTCATTCCTAAGGTGTCGAGGTTACCTTGCCTGCCTCTTGAACCACGTTACCTTTGACACAGGGGCCGACATCAGCGAGTTCGCAACTGGAATGTCGGGACCGCCGCTGCCCATGGCCGCTCGAAGGTGGAAAGATCGTTTTGGTGTTTGGGGTTTAGAGTTTAGGGGTTTAGGGTTTAGGGTTTAGGTTCTAGGGTTCAGGGTTTAGGGTTGTGGATTCATGACTTTCTGCTTTCAGATGAAAACGAGGTGATTGATGCCCTGGAAGCCAGTGACAAGCCGGTGGTTGCGGCCATTGACGGTGTAGCGCTTGGAGGTGGGCGCGCCTTGCTGGGGTTTACAGGAGCGGACACGAGCAGTATAACCTGTTAAAACAAGACAGACCATGGTACTTCGTGGCAATCACAAAATCAATGAGTCCAGCATCATGATCCTTGGATGGACGGATGGATGGATGTATGGACGGATGGATGTCTGTGAGTATGATTGGATGTGTGCGTGTTTTTTTTCTAGAATCTGCCTATTGTGGCAAGCGATATCTTGCAACGCTTTGAACCATTATTCTGTTATGCCAGAACTTGTAAACCCCGGGCATAAGAACACTAAGCCCTAAAGCCCTAAAC